AAAGACATACAACAGGTACACAGAAACACAGCAGGTACACACAGACACACAGCAGGTACACACAGACAGCAGGTACACACAGACACACAGGAGACTCACTGAGACTCACTAGGAACACACACAAATAACCAGCGCAGCAGACACCATTAAGCATAAACTGAGCAGGTACTCTACTTGGACTTCCCTTTCTTAATCTGTGATGCACTGAGGACTGTTGCCCTGATGTATTTCGGGCTGAGGTGAATTAACCCAACACAGATTAACGACTAAACATGGGAATTAGGTGTCCCTGGTCTGCACAGGTCAGCTACTCTTTCCCTTAACCAGGAGAGGATCTGGGGTCCTTATCTTTGTGTCGTGCTCCCACATTACAACTGACTTATTCTTTCTTCTAACTGTAGCAGCTGATTGGCCACATCACAAGGAAGGTCAATGTTGACCTGGTCGTCAAAATATTTTCGGATCTCTTTGATTTCCTCTTCCCAGAATTCCTTCTCAACACTGAAGATTTCGTCCATGTTCACGTAGCTGAGACCGTTGAGATTCAGGGCACCATCTGCAGGAATGTAGCCCAAAGGAGACAGTTTGGCACAGTCCTTTCCCTCGATTCTCCGGAACATCCATTCCAGGACTCGACAGTTCTCCCCGAAACCCGGCCACAGGAAGTTGTTCTGCTTGTCTTTGCGGAACCAGTTGACGTGGAAGATCTTGGGGAGTTTCGAGCATGTCCTGTGCTCCATACTGAGCCAGTGTGACAGGTACTTCCCAAAGTTGTAGCCAAAGAAAGGCCGCATGGCGAAAGGGTCATGCATAATGACCTTACCTAAGAAACAATGACAAAAGGAGCAATGAACAACTGGCTCCAAGGTGACAGCAAAAAACCAATTAACAGCACATTAATATGGGGACAAATATGAGCAAGTCAATGTTATCAGATTCCTCACTCCATACCCACTTGTCTCACTTTCCATTGGCTGGGATCTTCCAGTGACAGTTGGAATTTCCTGGAAAGGTGACGTACCTCTCAGTGATGCCCTCAGTCTGGTCCATTGATCACTCACAGTTTGGTATAGATCATGGGTCCCCAAACTCCAGCTTCCTCCGTCAGCCAACCCCCATAGATTTATCTATTGAATTGGACAATTCTTTCTCATTCCACTGGAGCTCTGATCATTCAGATCTAATGTGTTCCCAGCAATACTGGTCTACTCTGTGTCCTAAAGTTCATGAGGTATTCTGTCCCAGTATTATTGGGTTTTTGATGTACTGTGTTCCAGTATTAATGGTATATTTTTTGTTCTAGAATTACTGATCTATTGTGACCTGTTAATACTGGTACACTTTGTGTCCTAGTGTAACTAATCTTGGTGTCCATGCATTCCTCGCATAGTCAGTTTCCACAGGTTACCGATCTGCGATTGTATTACTGGGAAGTATAATCTGTATCCCAACCTTATTTATCTGCTGTGTTCCAGTATGACCACTATTGTCTGTGAACAGAGTTATTAGTCTATTGTGTTACAGTGTAACTGATATAGTGTGTCCCAGTGTTACTGGTATATTCTTTGTGCCAGAGTTCCTGATCTATTGTGTCCCAGTATTACTGGTACTCGCTGTCCCCCAGTGTAACTATCCTGTCCAAGTATTACTGTATACCCTTTGTCTGCAGGTGACTGATCTATTGTGTCCTGGAGTTACTGATTATTGTCCCAGTCTTACTGCTACACAGTGTTCCCCATCATAACTACTCAGTTGTGCCCCAGGGTTAGTGATGTACTCTGTCCCAGGGTTACTCACCTATTGTGTACTAAAATCGATGGTATAGCTTCCTGATCTATTCTGTCCCAGTTTTACTGGTGTACTCTGTTGCTTTCCAGTATGACTGCCATTCTGCTTCTGCAGCAAATCCACACTGACCTTCCAAAGAGCATCCCACACAGATCCCTACCCTATCCTTATAACTCTGTATTTCCCATGGCTAACCCACCTAACCTGCATATCTTTGGACTGTGGGAGGAAACCAGACCACCCAGAGGAAATCCACACAGACACGGGGAGAATGTGCAAACCCTACACAGACAGTCACCCGAGGGATGGGATTGAACCTGGGTCCCTGGCACTGTGAGGCAGCAGTGCTAACCACACAGCCACTGTGACATCCCATGCCATCCTGATCTATTGTATTGCAGCCTTTCAGATACACTTTGAGTCCCAGCTTTATTGATCCATTGTGTGCAAGTTTTTCTGGTAAACTGAGTCCCCCAGCCATCTTGATATTTTATATTCCAGCATTACTGCTTTACACAGCTTCCCAGCTTTACAATAATATCTGGGATAGTGTATCCCAGTGCTGGTATTTTGTTGGGTCCCAATGTTAATGGTATACACTGTGTGCTCTGTGTCCATCATTTACCAAACAATTGGGTCCCAGAATTACTGGTAGACTTTGTGACCAAGTGTTCCTGATTTATTGTGTCCCTGTATATTCTGTGTCCCAAGGTTCCTCATCGTTTGTGTCTCAGTATTACTGGTATACTCTGCGTCCCAGCCCTACTGATTGATTGTGCCCAGTTTTGCTGCTATCAACTGTGTCCCAGAGTTATGAATCTATTAAGCCCTAGTGTAACTGGTATAGAGCATCTCCCAGCATTACTTATCTATGTAACCCTGTATTGCTGTACACTACGTGTCTCATCCTTAAATATCTACTGACTCCCAGTTTTACTGGTATAGTATTCTATCCCATGTTTACTGGTCCAATGTGTCCCATTGTTATTGTTACTGTCCAAGTCCCTGAGATACTGATCTATTGTGTACCAATATTACTCACTGCTACATTCTGTGTCCCAGCCCTACTGTGTCTCAGGATTACTGGTAAAGTTTGTATCACAGCGATACTGATCTACTGGGACACAATAGATCTGTAACTCTGCGACATAGAATATACCAATAATACTGCGATACGGTACATCAGTAAGCCTGGGACACGATAAATCAGGAACCCTGGGGCATAGGGTGTACCATTAATTCTAGGACACACCAGATTTGTTAACCAGGGACAGCTAGTACTATCCATTGTGTTCCAGTATTACAGGTATACTCTCTCTGTGTCCTTGTTTCACTGATCTATTGTATCCCAGTATTACTGGTGTAGACTGTGTTGCAATGAAACTGATCTGCTGTGAACTGGTATTACTGGCTCTGCTGTGGAGTAGGGTTGGGCAAAGTACAAGCAAGTGATGGTGGTAGGAGAGTCGTTAGTTCGGAGCGCAGACAGGCGGTTCTGTGGCCACATTAGAGACTCCAGGATGGTATGTTGCTTTCCTGGTGCCAGGGTCAAGGATGCCTCTGAGTGAGTTGCATGAAATTCTTAAGGGAGTGGGTGAGCAGCTAAAGGTCATTGTGTACCAATGACGTAGGTAACGAAGGGGTATGAGATCCTGCAGAGTGAGTACTGGGAGTTAGCAAAGAGGCTGAAGGCAGGACCACAAGGTATTAATCTCTGGGTTGCTACCAGTGCCACGTGCTAGTGAGGCAAGGGATAGAAAGATAGGACAGATAAATGCGTAGCTAAGGAGCTGGTACAGGGTATAGGGTTTCAGGTTCTTGGATCATTGGGCCCTCTTCTGGAGCAGGGGTGACCTGTAAGAGGGACAGGTTGCACCTAAACTGGAGGGGAACCAATATCCTCGCTGGGAGGTTCACTCGTGCTACTCAGGAGGGTTTAAACTAGAGTGGCAGGGCGCTGGGAACCAGAGCAGCAGGTCAGCAAATGGAGCGATTGAGACGAGAGTAGATGTTAGGACAAGTAAAGAAAGTTTAGACAGAGACAGGTAAATGATGGTACTAATGGGCTGAAGTGTGTTTATTTCAATGCAAGGAGGTAAGGCAGATGAGCATAGAACATGGATCAGTACATGGGACTATGATGTTGTGGCCATTACAGAGACTTGGTTGAAAGAGAGATAGGATTGGCTGCTCAACATTCCAGGGTTTCGATGTTTTAGACGAGACAGAGAGGAAGGTAAAAGAGGTGGAGAAGTTGCATTACTAATCAGGGAAAATGTCACATATGCACTCAGAGAACATACTGGAGGGCTCCTCCACCGAGAAAATAAGGGTAGAAGGGTGTGATCACTCTGATGGGACTATACTATAGGCTTTCTAAAAGCCACTGAGACATTCAGGAATATTATGGAAAGATGCAATAACAGCAGAGTTTTCATAGTGGGTGACTTTAACTTCCCCAATATTGACTGAGACTCTCTTAGAGCAAGAGACTTAGACAGGACGGAATTTGTTAAGTGCATCCAAGAGGGTTTCTTGAAACAGTATGTGGATAGTCCAACTAGAGGAGGGGCCATACTGGACCTTGTATTGGCTAATCAGCCTGGCCAGGTGACTGACCTTTCAGTGGGACAGCATTTTGGAATCAGTGATCACAACGCCTTAAGTTTTAAGATAGTCATGAATTAGGATAAGTTAGGGCCTTGTGGAAAGGTACTAAATTGGGGGACGGCAAGTTACGTCAGTGTTAGACAGGAGCTAGGGAGAGTTAATTGGGAGAAGCTGTTATCGGTCAAGTCCGCATTTGACATGTGGGAACTGTTTAAAGACCTACTGATCCAAGTTCAGGACCAGCATGTTCCAATAAGGAGGAAGGACAAGGATGGCTAGGTCAAGGGACTGTTGGATAATGAGTGAGGTCGTGAACTTAGTCAAAATGGTAAAAGAAGCAAATGTAAAGTTTAGGAAGCTAAACTCAATCAGGGCCCATGAAGAATATACAGAAAGCAGGGAAGAACTGAAGCAGACAATTAGGAGAGCAAAGAGGGGCCATGAAATGACCTTGGCAAGTAGGGTCCCAGTTTTGCTGGGTCAAGAATTACTGGTATAAGCTGTGTCCACACGTTACCTGCGTATTGTGTCCCAGCATTACTGATATACTCTATGCTCCTGCATTTTTGATCTCTTGTATCCAGTATTACTGGTATATTCTGTGTCCCAGTATTATTGATTTATTGTGTTCCAGTATGACTGTACACACTATGTTCCAGGGTCACTGATCTATTGACTCCCTGCATTATTGTTACTACCTGTGTACCTGGGATACTAATTTACTGGTATCAGTAATACTGTATATTCTGTATCCCAAGGTCACTGAGCTAATGTGTCTCAAAAATACTGGTATACTCTGTGTCCCCAGAGTTACTGATATATTGTATCCCAGTGTTACTGGTATACTCTGTGTTCCAGCCTTACCGAGATATTGTGTCCCAGCATTGATGCTTTACACTGTGTTACATTTTTATAATATTATCTGGGATACCTGTGTCCCCAAGGTTACTGATCCATTGTGCCCAGTATTACTGGCATTACAGATTTATTGTGTCCCAGCATAAATCAGTAAAACAGAGGCACTAGCTATACAATAAAAATGGGACACAATATATTAGTAACAATTGGGACACAGAGTGGAATTGGGACACATTAGATCAGTAATCCTCGGACAAAGAACTTCTTCAGTTCTGAGGAAGGGTCACCGGACCTGAAACATTAATTCTGATTTCTCTTCACAGATGCTGCCAGACCTGCTGAGCTTTTCCAGCAATTTCTGTTTTTGTTACTGATGTACTCTTTGTCCGAGGTTTACTGACCTAATGTATCCCGGTTGTGGTCTGTGTCCCAGGTGTTACTGATGCATCATGTCCCATTTTTACTGTATAGTCTGTGTCCCTGTTTCACTGATTTATAGTATTCCAGTATTACTGGTATATTGTGTGTCTTAGGGTTCTTGATCTATTGTGTATAGACTGTGCCACAGGTTTATTGATGTATTATGTCTCAATATTAATGGTATAGTCTATCTCCCTGGTGTGCTGATCTATTGTACCCCAGTATTATCTTGTATAATTTGTGTTCATTTTACTGATTTATTTTGTCCCAGTATTAATGGTATACTTTATGTCCCAGCATTACTGAGCTATTCTATCCTGGTATTACTGGTATACATTGTTCTGTGATCCTCCCCGCATTGTTACCGTGTTCTGTGTTCCCTGCCCATCCAGTATTGGTGTATTCTGTGTCCTGGTGTCAAAGTGTTTCAGGTCCCATGGTTACTGGGTCCCAGGTCCCAGTGTTATCCACATACCTTTGTGCTCTGCTGCGGCTGTAGCCTCTGATCTCATGGATGCTCCAACATAAACTCCATGCTGCCAGTTAAAAGCTTCATAAACCAGAGGGACGCCTGCATTAGAATGACAGAAATGTCTGAAATAACAAGTGTTGGTATATAAAAGATTCAGATAGTGCATTTTGCTCTGAAGACAAAGAAAACATTTTGGAAAATATGCGTCCAGGTCAATTAGAGGACCAGAGGGATCTGGATATGCAAATAGTAGTGTTACAGTTTAACAAGTCATAAAAGGAAACAAGGTATTGGGATTAATTTCTAAAGGGTCAGAACTGAAAAGCAAAGAAGTTCTGTTAAACGTGGAGAGGATTGGTTGGACTACATTTTGAATATTGTGCACACTTCCAGTGTCCATTTTAAGGAAAGAACAGAGAGGGTGCAAAAAGCTTGTAATGAGCATGAGACCAGAACTGAGAGGTTGGAGCTGTCAGGGAAGATTGAATTGTTCGGGGTTGTTTTGTCTAGAAAATAGAAGACAAATGGTCTCCACATAGAGGCCTTTAAGGTTATGAAAGTGCTTGACAGAGTGATGTAAAGATGGCTCTATAGCTAAGTTTAATCAATAGATCATAATGACAAACAAATCTAATCATGAATTCTTTACCTAGAGGATTGCCAACTTACTATGGCAAGGAATTATTGACGTGAATGTGCATTTCAGAGAAGTATAGAAGTAGACCACGGTGGAAAGGTTTATGTTGATACGGTGAGGCTGGTGTGAAATGAAAGCAAGCTCACTTGGAGAATAGACCCTGATGTGGAGGTGGGCCGAATGGCCTGTTCTAAGTACTAAGCTGTACTATGTCACTACTACGTAACAACTTATTGTTTTTCTCTTGTATTTGTTCATGGGATGTGGGTGTCTCTGGTTAGACCAGCACTTATTGCCCATCTTTAATTACCCAGAGGGCAATCAAGTGGCAACCACATTGTTGTGGGTCTGGAGTCACTTGTAGGACAGACCAGGTAAGGACGGCAGATTTTCATCTGAAAAGAACATTAATGAAGCAGATGGGTATCTCCTGTACAAGTATTCACTACATAATTCACAAGTCCATTTTAACACCGTTACCTAGTTGACCCACTTTCAGACTTTTACTGAAGGTCTGCTGCAAGAGTTTCTGAACTCACTGAGAAGCCGTCCTATACAATACTAGTGCAGTTAGGAATCTGTGTCTAATGCTTAATTCTGGTGCTCTACAGTTTAGACTATTGTACCTTTTGGTCTCCGTCCTCCGAAGATAATTGCTTCAATGGGAACCCCTTCAGGAGACTCCCAATTTGGGTCAATGATTGGACACTGTCTGGCAGGAGTACAGAACCTGGAGTTGGGGTGTGCACATGGTTCTCCATCGCCAGGACTCCATATTTTGTTTTTCCATGAAGTCACTGTGATGCCGGGGGGCAGAGTTTCATCAATTCCCTCCCAGTAAACACCCCCATCGCTGGTTTCTGCCACGTTGGTGAAGATGGTGTTCTTGCTGATGGTTTGCATTGCATTTGGATTTGTCTTGTTAGATGTCCCAGGAGCTACACCAAAGAAGCCATTTTCTGGGTTGATTGCTCTCAGTTTACCTGTGGGAGGGCCCAATAAATGAATGTATTAATAAACTCATCAGACTATCACCAGACAATACAAAGCAGATACTTCCTCAACTAATTATTTTATGACTGCCCTAGTGCATTCGAAGTGAACTGACCTTGCTCATCGAACTTCAGCCAGGCGATATCATCTCCCACACACTCGACTTTCCAACCGGGTAATGTCGGATTCATCATGGCCAAGTTTGTTTTTCCGCAAGCACTAGGGAACGCAGCAGCAATGTACTTCTTCTGGCCTTTGGGGTTGGTTACTCCCATGATCTGGGGAGGGAGAGAAGCTGATGAGGAAATGTTATCTATGCACTTACCCAGGTTTAAATTCTAATCTGTAACTGTTACGCCTGCAGTTTGACAAGGACATGCAGCATAGAACAGCCAGTGTCCATGTGTGTAGCCTTTCGAAATTTTTAATCAACCCTCCCAGCCAGAGGTCAGGACATTACCACTAAACCACAAGATCCCTTTTTCTCAGCCTTTACGTTACTGATACACTAAAATTACCACAATACCACCCCTCCACAGTCTGCTGACTTAGGTTGAACAATGTATATTATGTGTACTATTGAGAATATCCTCACTGTCACATCTTAATGATGCTCGGCAATCTCACTTTATAGAATACTTCTAAATGACTCCAGTAAAACACACAAAACATTTAAGTTAACCTAAATTTCAGACATTATTAGTCTCCATGTCAGACTGAGAAACATTACTGATTGTTGGAGCTCAGTGTGAAAAGAAAGATTTGAATTTTACAATTCGTTACTTCAGGGTGACACAACGCGCTTTATAGCAAGTCACGGACATTTGAAATGTATTCACTGAATTTTGTCTGAAATGTGGCAGTCAATATGGTGCAGAAGTTGTCCCATAAACAGTGACAATACCAACTCAATATTTTTAGTGATGTTATTCAAGGAACATATCTTAACCAGAATACCAGGGAAGAAACTTCAAAATAGTGGTGTGGGACTTTTTAATAGCCACATGAGAGAACAGATGGGTCTTCAATTTAAAATCTCATCCTGAAGGCACCAACCCCAGTGATGTTATGTTCTTTTAGTGCTGCATTGGATTGTCAACATGGATAAAGTTCCCAACTTTCTTCAGTGTGACTTAGATTTGTGACCTCTAATTCAGAGAGCAGAGAGCTAACGAAGGTCGCTCCTTCAAGCCCAGTTTTAAATACGAAATTCACACTATTACAGTTTGTTTGTGTCACAGGGAAGTGGTCATTACTGAAAGGCCACATATCCAGTAGAGGGTTAACTCCTCTATGTGCTTACCAGCATGTGTTCAGCAAGCCAGCCCTCTTCTTCAGCAATCCTGGAGGCAATGCGCAGAGCAAAGCACTTCTTTCCCAGCAGTGAGTTACCTCCATAACCACTCCCGAATGAAATAATCTCCCTGCGCTGAGGGATGTGGGCGACCAGTGTCAGCTCAGGATTGCAGGCCCAGTTATTGACCAGTGGTTCTAAATACAGAGACAGATTGTCACCCAACGGCTCAATGCAAAACTGTTGGATTGCAGAATAAAACTCTTCTCTCCTTCCCTCTCCTGCCCCCAGATAGTGACAACTAATCTAAAGATGCTGAAACCAAACTCACTCTTTAGTGGTAAAGGGCATCCAACTGAATGAAGGCATTTGACAAACTGGCCATTGCCCAGGGTCTCCAGTACAGCCGATCCCATGCGAGTCATGATCCTCATGCTTGCCACAACGTAAGGTGAATCTGTCAACTGGATCCCGATCTTGGACAAAGGTGAACCCACAGGTCCCATGCTGAATGGAATCAGGTACATTGTACGGCCTAGAGATTAACAGCAAGAGTATTAGAAGAGTATTAATCTTGAGATTATTCTGGGATAGAATTTGCTTGATGTTTAAATCTTAATGAATTCAACGAGCTCAGGTGTAGTGACAATCATTGCTGCCTGTGTCAGCATTCACACAATTACAGGAGAAATAACAAATAGCAATGCAAGAACAGATTAGGAAACTGCAAGAGTGGAGTTTAGAACTTCTATCTGTAAACCAAACACCAAACTCACTCGCAACTATCATTTATGCAGCATGTACTATGAGACACTGAGGGGTGAGTGGGGGATAAAAGTTCCTGTCATTTTGGCTGCCTTTCTGGCTGGTCTCATGCTGACCATGTAACCTCCGTCAATTTTCATAAAAACTATGCGGTTCACTAATGTCCTTTGGGGAAGGAAGCCTGCCAACTTGGCCTGTAAAAGTAGAGTTGACTTTGAACTGCCCCTTGAACGATTAGGAATTGAGAAAGGATGCTAGTCCAGGCAGTGCCACTCACATCCCATGAACAAATATCTGTTTGAAAATCTCCAGCGTCTGCATCATCTGTTCCAGTTGCTGTCTTTCGTTTGCTGTCACTGCACTGCTATAGTTAGGACAGCTGACTGGTACAGTTGGGTACTTTGTTAGAAGTTATCACAGCTATTAGCAAAAGATCTGAACCCTCCTGTGTAGTTACTGGTGTGTCAGGTATGGTGCAGGCTGAGAAGGAGCTGACAGGAATGGGTGAATAGCTTCAGTGTCCACACTGAGGATTCATTATCTGACAATGTCACTACACCATCATTGAGTGCTAACTCATCATTTAGTGTGCAGAAAGAATAATTAAGAAATATCCCAGACTGATTTAATGTCTGTACCTTTCATACATTCTGGAAAACGTAAAGTGAATGCCTTTTCAAACTCCTTCTCTGACAGCCAGCGCCCGAGCTGGCTGACCCCACTCTTTGGTATGGGAATGGTATCTCTCTGTTCAGGGGTCACAATTACGGTTTTACTCTCCACACGAGCAACGTCTCTGGGGTCTGTGCGAGCCAACCAGCTGGAAATGGAAACAAAATAGAACAAGTTCAGTCACAAGATTCCTGCACTCAAGCAAATCAACCTTATTACAATTCAACAACACATCACTGCAATGTGTGCTGAATTGGGATGAAAGGCTGAAGCTTAAAAAAGCTACTTCCTGTGTTCAATCTGTCAATGCTCTGAAAGTCCTGAAAGAACACTAGCTTTTCACTGTATTTCGGTACACATGACAATAAATCAATCTGTAAGAAACCCTGCTTTCAGGTTAGACTGTGTGTGTGGTAGGGCCAATGAACTTTTATTCTGGCTTTGCCTCTTCCACATGTTGGGAAATGTGGCAAGATGAGTAGCTGCTGGAAAGGCAGCCTGCTCCAGTGAAGATCAACTTTTGCTTCCCATCAATGAGTTTTCATTACTTTTAATTCTAAGTCAGGGTTTGCAGACTATGAACAGGTAGCAAACAAACTGACTGTATCTCATCCAGGCATTATGAACAGCCATTAGTGAATGGAAGTGCCATACTGGTAGAACAGTAATACTACTCTGAGCCTGGCCCTGATGCATGTTGGTGGGAGTTTGTGGAGATTCATTACTCTTTATGTAACCAAATTATACCTGATGTGGGAATATTTGTTACTGATGCAAAAACAAACGTCAAAAGTGGAAAATTGTATACCTAAAATTGAGAAGCACAATAAAATTTCACCTAAATATATAGACTTGGAGAGAGAAAGCTGCTCACCAGTTCTGATACTTGGTTAAGCGTTTGATTATCCCTTGCTCTTCCATCAGGCACAGAAGCTGCCTGTTCTCTTCTTCACTCCCATCACAGATGTGGACCTTGTCTGGTTGACATAACTTCGCACTTTGTTCAACAAAGTCTCTCACTGCAGGGCTCAAGGCATTCAGATCTCCCTGAACCACATTCAGAGGGTGTTGGGGAAGGCACTGGAGTTGAGGGGACATCTCTTCTCCCAAAAATACATTAGTAACAGGCTGTAAAACAATCATAACATCACTGCTTGGTGTACTCAGTGTGAACTTATGCCTTGTCACTGAGCAGCCCACTGAGTGGGAATTTCATTTCCAGTGATCAGCCTGCTTATATTTTCTGGTGTGTGATATTGTGATACTTTGTATACATTATATTTGTGCAATACGTACAAAAACTCATTCAGTGAGTCATTCAAATGCAAATTAAGGTTCTGCACATTCTGTTTTTGAAAAATTGCAATGGATTCTTGAATACTGAGTGAAAGAACAACAGCACAGCCACTTCCACAACTTGCTCAAGATTATTGACCTTTCTTATTTCAGCTTTTGTGATCTGTGTGTTCATTTAGTATGTATTAGTGTATTCAATCCAGTTTATTTCATTGTCCAGGGGCATTTTTGTGGTGTGACAGATACACACCAGAGCTCATCCCAGTGAAAGATACTTTAGGTATACTTAAGATAGAGTTGCTGTCAAATATTAGATCAGGATCTACAGTACCAGCTTGATCTGATCTGCTGGAGGCTAACCACCAGTGGTCTAATGAGAAGACGCTCTTGTCTTAAACAAGATGCAGTTTATTGCATTAAAGCAACAAGGAAAACATCACATTGGGAAGATAAACATTGTTACTGCAACTGAAGAGACCAGGATTATTTGTTGTCGTTCTCCTTTGAGATCCATAGCCATTCTCCCAGCCGACCCCTTAGGCGCACAATGGCTCAGTGGTTAGCACTGCTGCCTCACAGTGCCAGGAACCTGGGTTCGATTCTGCCCTCAGGTGACCGTGCAAACTCCATACAGACATTCTGCTTGTGTTTGTGTGGATTTCCACCAAGTGCTCCAGTTTCCACCAACACTCCAAAGATGTGCAGGATAGGGTAGATTGCCCACAGTGTCCAGGGATGTGCAGTTTAGGGTGTGTTAGCCATGGGAAATATAGGGTTACAGGGACTGGGTGTATGGGGGTGGGGATGGGTTTGATGCTCTTCAGAGGGTCAGTGTGGACTCAATGGGCTGATATGGCCTGCTCCCACACTGTAGGGATTCTATTATATCATATTGGGTGGAGTTTAATGCTTCCTCAGCTTTAACACATTCAGAACCAAATTACCAAATACCTTGTACAACAGTTGGATTTATATTCCTTCAGCTACAATATGACTGAAATCATGTGGGTATAAATCAACAACTTGCATCCAGATCTCTCTGCAGAATTCCTTGTGCTTGAATCTTTATGTATAAGAAATCAGGAGAGCTAATCTTTCTGATTAACAGCCAGTGATGAAAGGGAGAGGTACATTAAGACCTGGGTGTCCTTGTGCACCAGTTGCTGAAGGTAAGCATGCAGGTGCAGCAGGCAATGAAGAAGGTCAATGGGATGTTGGCCTTCATAGTGAGAGGATTTGAGTACTGGAGCAGGGGATGTCTTGCTGCAACTGTGCAGGGCCTTGGTGAGGCCTCACCTGGAATACTGTGTACAATTTTGGTCAATTTATCTGAAGAAGGGTGCTCTGGCTATGGAGGCACTGCAGCAAAGATTTACCAGACTGATTCCCGAGATGTCAGGACTGATGTATGAAGAGAGATTGGATCAGTTAGGACTATATTCACTGGAGTTTTGAAGAATGAGGTGAGCGCTATAGAAACTTATAACATTCTAACAGGATTAGTTGGGGTAAATGCAGGAGGGATGTTCCTGGTGACTGACTGGGGAGTCCAGAACCAGGGGTCACAATCTAAGGTGAAGGGATGGGCCATTTAGGACTGAGATGAGGAGAAACTTTTTCACTCAGAGAGTGGTGAGCCCGTGGAATTCTCTGCCACAGAAAGCGAATGAGGCCAAAACATTGAATGTTTTCAAAAAAGAGATGGATACAGTATTTAAGGCTAAAAAGATCAAAGGCTATGGGAGAAAGTGGGCACAGGCTACTGAGTTGGATGATCAGCCATGACCATATTGAATGGCAGAGCAGGCTCAAAGGGCGGAATGGATTTCTGTTGTGTGTGTCCTGGCAGCAACATTCCAATGAAAGGTGCCAGTGCACTCCAAAGTGCAGCACTGAAGTGGAGAACCATACTGGAAGTGGAATGTGAGATGTGCTAAGGTGTGGACAGGGCAGTTGGTGCCAATGGAGCATGCCTTAAGACGTTGGTGTTCAAGGCTGGAGGAGCAAACGTGAGCTGGAAGCACCAGGTACCAGCTCAGACTTTCATGCTGAGGGAATTGTAACCACTTAGTTTCTATCCAATAGGTAGGAACATGGGAAACTTCATATCAAAGAGGTGGGATTAGGTAATAATGACATGTAAATACACGCAAATGGTTGCAAATTGTCTTCTTGCTTCTCACTAGTGAGATTTCTGCCTCGTTGTTCAACATTTGGTTGGAAAATGGGACGTTGTGCTCCAGAAGAATCTCATTTCTACTGATCTCACCGAACTTTCTTACCGATACCTACATCGTTCAGGGGCTGGGAAGACTCCATGCTACACTTCTAATAACAAGAATGTTCTCCGGATGTCCTGAGCACCATTTAGTATTTGCCAACATTGTTAAAGCAGATTATCTGGTCATTCTCACATTGTTGTTTTTTAGGAACAGTGTGAGCTATTCTGAGGTTATAAACATATAATGTCAATAAATGTAAATCATCATTTAACTCCAGAAAAGGTCAACAATAACTCCAGTCTGACTAACTCAACCCCATTGCTCTGTGATTACTCCTAAATGCTAAAGTATTAAATCGCAGTTTCCTAATGTACACAATTCTGTGACACTCATCACATCACCATATGTCTTTGTAAGGAATGTGTACTAAAACTATGTCACTCCACCCCCGTGGTGTAATCATAGTGGGCATCTTAACAATCAGAGCAATTGTTAATGCAGTCATTACTCTGACAAAGAGAATGCTCAATGCATACTGACAGCCCTGACTAACCAGGGAATCTCTTCAGTTCTGCTGACACTCTATTGTCCTTAAGACAGTTCATGTTTTGTGTGGTATCTTTCAAAGTATAATTGAGTGTGGGTAGTGACTTATTTTCCTGAGCACTTTCCCTTTCCTCTTTAATATCCTCTTACTGACAGTGACCTCCCAATCTTTCTCTAGAGTTCTGGCTGACTATTATCAACTGCGGTTAGCACTGTTGCCTCACAGTGCCAGGGACCTGGGTTTGATTCCGCTTGACTGTCTGTGTGGAGTTTGCACATTCTCCCTCTGTCTGCGTGGGTTTCTTCTGGGTGCTCCAGTTTCTTTTCCTCCCACAGTTCAAAGATGTGCAGGCTAGGTGGATTAGCCATGGGAAATGCAGGGTTAAAGGGATGGGGTGAGGGGGATGGTGGGTTGCTTTTCAGAGGGTTGGTGTGGACTTGATGGGCCAAATGGCCTGTTTCAAGACTGTAAGGATTCTAACTGTATGCTTTGTCTTTTCTAGAACCTTGTACTTGCTTCCAAAACATTTCAATCTATAGTCGATAATTAACCTTGGACAAAACCACACTGTTTCACTAATAAAACACAACATCTGTTTAAAGCTGCATGCTAAATAGCTCTGTGCCTTAAAATGCTCACAAGCTGGACTACATAGGCAATTGATACTTCTTACACCAAATAATCTATAGGTAGCATTTAAAAATTATTATATAATTTGTCACAACTATACATTTCTAAAGGCACAAAATCTCAAAGAAAACTGTGATTAACAAAGGAACTTAGGAAATGAAAGAGTCTATAAAGTGAGCAGTAATAGTAATAAACCTGAGTAATGGAGGCAGTTTAGAAAATATCGAAGGGGGACCAAGAAACCAATAAGGGAGGGGAGAATGGAAAATATAAATAAACAAACTGAAACACAGTAATAGACAGTAAAGCTTTTGTAAAGGTTAAGTATCAAAGAAACATTTGGTTAAGATAAATGTGTGTCCATTACACGCAGAATCAGGAAAATAGGGAGAGGCAGAGAAACTAGCTGATTACTTTGTCTGTGTTGTTTTCATTCAGGAAGATACAAGAAACATCCCAGAATTAGGGATCCAAGTAACAAGGAAGAAAAAAAAAATTCCAGGAATTATTATTAGTAAGAAGGTTGTGTTAAAGAAATTAATGAATTGAAAGTTGGTAAGTCCCCAGCATGTGATATTCTTGCATCCTGGAATATTTGAAGAGGTGGATTTGGAGAAATGGATGCATTGTTGATCATGTTCCAAAATGCTAGTTTCCAGAATGATTCCTACAGATTGGAAGATAGCAAATGCCAACCAACATTTCTGAAGAGAAAGAGAGCAAAAACAGGGAATTACAGGCCTGTTAATCTTACCTCAGTAGTAGCAAAATGCTAGAATCTATTATAAGGTGGGATCAATAGATATTTGGATAACAACGATGAGTGAATGCAATCACATTGATTTCTGTAACAGCAATTGTCTTTGACGAACCTGTAGAAGTTTCTTTCAGGCTGTTACTAACAGAATCAATAAAGGGGTGTTGATCATCTCACATTGGCAGGCTGTGACTGTTAGGGTACCACAAGAATCAATATTTGCACCCCAACTGTTCACAATATATATCAATGACTTGGAGACTAAATGCAATATTTCCAAATTTGTAGCGGATACAAAGCTATGCAGGAAAGTGTGTCGTGAGGAAGATGTAAAGTGGCTTCAGGAAGATTTGGACAGGCTTAATAAGTGGGCAGATAGAATATAATGTGTAAAATGTGAGGTTCCCCACTTTGGAAGGAGGAACAGTTGTGAATATTATTTCTTAAATGGTGAGGTGTTGGAAATTGTAGATGTACACACAGACCTAGGTGTCCTTGTCAAAATGTCACTGAAGGCAAACATGGAGGGGCAGCAAGCTATTAGAGATGCCAATCGAATGTAACACAAGCAGATTTGAGTACAGACACTTTGCTCCAATTGTATAGAGGTTTGGTTAGACTACATCAAAAGTTTTAGTGCCCTTATC